GGGCAGTATGCAGAGTGGAGCTCCCTGGCTACCCCTACATATAGGAGCCGGAGTAAGGCCACACCGCTGCTTCCGGAAGCAGTGTGGAGTGGCCCCCGACCCTGCTCCCCGTCTGGAGTGCCAGAGTGGGGCAAGCCCCAGACTGTGCTCCCCAGCGGGAGCTCAAGGGCTGGTTTAAAACAGTTGGCAGGCTGGATCCGACCCAGGGGTCTTAGTTTGTCCACCCCTTTTGTAGAGAGATTCTTCCGAATCTCGGAGACTAACAGTTTTCATTTTAGGAACAGATCTATTGAAAGGCACTAACCATTCCTTTTTTTTTTAATTTAAATTATTTTGATTGTTAATTCCTGGTGCTATTTGTTCCAGCTGTGCTCTGAAAACATAATTTTCATGATGCAGTCCAACTTTTAATTCTCTCTCTCAAGACTGAATTTTGATGTCTCAACCTTTGATTTTCTTGGTTAACGTTAGTGAATTGCTGTGTTAACAGTAAATTTTCTTCCATTAAGTTGCCTCTTTCGACTGCAAGCCTTGAAATGTCTTCCTAGTTCCTAGAAAGCGACATTAGAAGTGCCCCTAAAACTATCAAAAGGATCACAACTAAAAGTATCAGAAGGACTAGGATGCAGATGTTTTTTCTTCCACTTCATGGTCTCTTGAGGCACCACAAAATAAGGCAGCAGGATTAGCTTTCTTCAACCAGTAATCCATTCTCATCATCAACTGCCTGTAAAATATGATTCAGTTTTTATGGCACTCTGCTACACTAAAGTGTTTTTAATTTTACAGGAAAACCTACAATTAAAGAATCTACAAACCATCACTCACATAAAATCAGATACAAGCAAATAACTGTTTCAATAGAGTAGCTTGTTCAGAGCACAGATACATCCAAATCTTGCCGCCACTTCCTCTAAAACATGTCCAAGATACATGCTTTTCTCTGGCCCAAGCCCTGGGCCAGGCCCCCTACTCCTCCTGCTTTTGTGTGTGCTGTTTGTTTTTTGTTTTATAGCTGCTGCCTCTGTGGCACCCCTCACACCCACATTGCACGCTGGCCTCCAGTCTATTTAAAATCCACCTGCCTACCCATTTATACCATGTCACCCTTTTCTTAATCCCTCTACCTGCTTCCTCTTTTCCACTACATAAAGTTTGTTTTAGTCTTCGTTAAACATTTAAAAAGCTTTCTGCCCCTTTTGAAAATGGAATGAGGGCATCAGAGTTGGGGAGGGAATGTTGCCCAAAGGATAGAGCCCTGGACTAGAGTCAGACTTGGGTTTTATTCCCTCCTCTGCCACTGGCCTGCTGAGTGACCTGGGGCAAGTCACTTCACCTCTCGGAAACCATTTCCCCATCTGTAAAATGGGGATAATACTGGCCTGCGTAAAGCACTCTGAGATCTACTGATGAAAAGCACTGTATAAGAGCTTGGTATAAGTCACTTATGTGCTTTGAAAATTTTACCCTCACTTTTTTTTAAAGCCCACTAGCTGCAACAATGACAGTCCTGACCTCCGGCCTTTCTGCTTCTTCGTGCTTGCTGTCCTACCACCCTTTTCTCCCTGGCATGCCCTCCCTGATCTAGTCTGTAAAGCCACTTCCCACTCCTTTGAATCCCTCTTCAAGGTGCACGTCTACCAGGAGCCTTCCAACTAGTCATGGCTAGAGAGAGGGACAGTGGGGATTGCTGAAGTTGTGCATGCAGCTGGCACTTTTTAAAACAAGATGATGTTTTTTCTAGAAGATACGCTCTAGGATTTTTTCCCATGAGTTCTCTGTTTGTTAGGTTCGGCCTTAAACTGGAGCCATTACGCAGTACCATAATACAAATAGTATAGAACCAATAGTGCAAACCAACTTTTATAAAAGGTCACTTCTACTAATCTCTGGTGCAGCTTCTGCCATTCCTGGAGAAAAGGTGCAGAATTTTCTAATATAGACAAGGCCTGTGACTGCATCCTTTGGGGGCAGGAACTGTGGCTTGCACAAGGATGAAAAGTGTTGGTGCTTGGCTGTTAATAACATCTATTTCTGTCTGAAAGGGACTTGCCATGAAATATCAAGACTTTAGTGGCCAGGGGATTTTTAAACCAAATTTGATTTGACACAGTTTAAGGTTCGATTGTTTGTTTCTTACAGTAATTCAATCTTGGCTGCTGCACGGTGCACAAAACAATATCTAAGACCTACTAGCCCAGAATTTTTTCCTTTTTATTTTTTTGTATTTAAAGATGATTGCAGTCAGGCAAGGCTAAGGATGAACAGCGAGAAGACAACTCCAGAGCAAATAAAATTGGTCTTCTCCCCCTCTCATGGCTTATTTTGGCATTCATGAATGACCTTGTTTTCAGAAAGCAGTAATTAGTTTGCACGGTGTAAACAATAGAATAAACTGAAACCTAAAACTGAAACCACCACTGCCAGGATCCATCTTGGGTTTTCCAATACACCTTTTTCTTGTACAACACACACATTCTTCATTTGTCCTCCATTCGTTATCTGTTTCTGTATTTTATATTTACTAGGCCAAATTTACCAATGATAACAGAGATTTAGGTATCTGTAGATATTCCATCAGCTTGATTTTCAGTGGGTGTGTAACATGGGCAGGGCTGCTGAACATCTTTATTTTACACATTGGCAATAGTTTTCTCCCATCTAAGTTTTCTCCCTTGGTGTATAAATTACTTATTTTGCACACCGCAGGGATAGAATAGGAAAAGCAACCAATTAAGATGTAAAATAACACTCCTCTTTGCCTGTCTTTCCGTTCCTAGTTTGCACTCCTTACCATGTTCCACGCATTTTGTATACATTGTGCATGCCAAGGTGGTGCAAGTTACACTGCTTTACCAGTTGCACACACTTCTAACCAATTTACACCTCTGTGTTGTCCTAGCTGAATTTGCCCTAAAGACTTCCAGTAGCATCCCTTGGCCAATGTTTAGTCTTGACCAGAGTGCAGTGCAGATCTACTGTTAGTGTATGGTCAGTAACCATTTTAGGGAAGGTTTATAGGCAGCAGAAAGTAGATACAGCTTCATCTCACCAGGAACTTACCACTCTGGCTCAATTTCCACTTCATGGACAGGGAGTAGGAGGAATCTTTCTGAGCTGGACTTCACTCTCTCACCTTGGATTTTTCCTGTGAAAGCAGAAACAGGTGCAACTGCAAATTAAATGTCTTCAGTTAGAGGGTTTTTTATGTTCAGGTGCTGTGCTGCTTTATGAACAAGTGTGGCTTCCCCAGGCAAATAAACCAGGTGCTCACAGGATCCAATAGGTAAGAAAAAGGAGCAGATCTCTCCCTTTCCTTCAGAGGAGTGGCTCAAATGGAGAAGTTTACTCTTGGCCACTAATTAAAGGTACAGTACAGATTAAAGAGGTATCTCTTATGAGTTACTCGCAGTTACATACAGTACTGGCTAAAAGGCTACTGGGGTAGAATTTGAAACTGGGCTGTCAGCTCTAGAGAGCAGCATAGGTGCTGGAACGAGGGGTGCTGCTGCACCCCCCCGGCTTGAAGTGGCTTCTATTATATACAGGGTTTACAGTTGGGTTCAGTGGCTCTTAGCGCCCCCACTATAAAAATTGTTCCAGTGCCCCTGGAGAGCAGTGAGGTACTGCCCCTTTATAAGGGAAGAAGGGAAAAGAGCAGGGTCACACCACCCTCCCCTGAACAGCTAGTGCCCTGAAGAAGGGCCCCAGCACAATGGCAATCAGCATGAGAAGCTCTCCTATGCCCCAGTAATTACAGAGCACTGACAGAACCCCTCAGCATACACATGCTAGCCCACAGATGTTTCTCTTGCAGGGGAAGGCAGTGTGGGCTAATAGACCACAGAAGACCTGGGGGGTTGATTTCCAGCTCTGCTACTGGGCTGCTGGATGACCTTGGGCAAGTCACTTCCCCTCTTTGTGTCTCTGTAAAATGGGGATAAAGGCTCTAAACTCCACAAAGTGCTTAGAGCTGCAAAGTAAAGAGCTAGGTGTCAGTATTATTACCTGGCTAAAGAACAGAGGCAGTCGTTACCCAAGCCCTACCATTGTACTACATTAACTGAGTGCTACAGGCCGAGTGAGCTCTTGGGAAAACTCTCCTTCCCACCTCACACCAACCCATGGTAAGAGCATCTGTCCCATGCAGGCTTTTCGCCTGCTATATCAACTGGCCATGCAGCTAGCAGCCACAGCTCAGGAAGCCATGACTACGATGTAGTGAAGTGGGCCCTACAGTGCTGGAAAGGAAAGCTCCCTAGATAAATCTCGGCGCGCTCCGGTTGATTAAAAATAAAATCTCATTCATTTCCTTATGGGAAAACCATTACAGCCCTGTCTCCTAATCCCATGGTTGCTGTTGTAGTCAGTATAAACATGCTAACATTTTCTATTCGCGAAGATTCAGCTTTTTAGGTCTTGTGTTGGTGGCATCAGAGTGGTCCTGAGACCAGACTGCCACATTAGACTCCAGGGCTGCCCTCTTTTGCCATTGAAACTCTATTCCCGGGCGGAACATTAGTCTAGAGACAATCCATTATTTGCTCGACGCTGACCTGCTGCTTAGGGCTGCACCAGGCAGAGAGCGGACAGGGGCCCCGCCTGCCTTGCAGAAGGTAGGAATGAAAAACCAACTTATTTTTTGATGATGGGGCGGGGGGGGGGGGAGGAAGAGTCTTTCTGAAGCAGGGTTAGCTGCTGTGGTGGAAAGGAACAATAAAGGCTTGCAGGTGAGTTTACCTGGGGCTGTGAATAACCCGAGGCAATGGGGCGGGGAGGGGCTTCCCCATGGTTGGAGGGCTGGGGGTGGGGGAGGGGTGGTGCTGTAGTGCCCCCCCCCCAGCAGCTGGGGCCCACCGCTCAGCGTACCCCCCCCCCCCGCACGTGCTTCCCTCCACTCCCGCCGCCGCTGGTTGGCTGCCCGGTGTTGCCGTGTGGCCGGCCGCGTGGCGAGCCCCGTGCGGGGGTGGGGGGCGCGCGGCGCAGCAGGTCCCCGGCCCGGGGCCTCCGTGGAGGGGCGGGGCAGCCTCAGGCGGGGATGGAGGGGCCGGGGGGGCGGCAGCGGGAAGACGATCCGCTGGAGCCGCTCCTAGGCCCAGAGGTGAGAAGCAGCGGGGAGCCTGGCGAGTGTGGGGAGGGGGGGCAGTGGGGGGTGTGCAGGGGGAGAGGAGCAGTGGGGGTGTGTGCGGGGGAGGGTCGGGTCTGGGGAGGGGGGACAGTGGGGGGTGTGCAGGGGGAGAGGAGCAGTGGGGGTGTGTGCGGGGGATGGGAGGGTCTGGAGGGGGGACAGTGGGGGGTGTGCAGGGGGGAGAGGCGCAGTGGGGATGTGCACAGGGGGAGGGTCGGGTCTGGGGAGGGGGGACAGTGGGGAGTGTGCAGGGGAGAGGAGCAGTGGGGGTGTGCGGGGGAGGGGAAGGTCTGGGGAGGGGGGACGGTGGGGGGGTGTGCAGGGGGAGAGGAGCAGTGGGGGTGTGCGGGGGGAGGGTCTGGGGAGGGAGGACAGTGGGGGGTGTGCAGGGGGAGAGGAGCAGTGGGGGTGTGTGGGGGAGGGTCTGGGGAGGGAGGACAGTGGGGGGTGTGAAGGGGAGAGGCACAGTGGGGGTGCGTGCGGGGGGAGGGGAGGGTCTGGGGAGAGGGGACAGTGGGGGGTGTGCAGGGGGAGAGGCGCAGTGAGGGTGTGTGCACAGGAGGAGGGTCTGGGGAGGAGGGACAGTGGGGGGTGTGCAGGGGGAGAGGCACAGTGAGGGTGTGTGTAGGGGAGGGGAGGGTCTGGGGGAGGGGGGACAGTGGGGTGTGTGTGTGGGGGGAGGGGAGGGTCTGGGGAGGGGGGACAGTGGGGGGTGTGCAGGGGGAGAGGCACAGTGAGGGTGTGTGTAGGGGAGGGGAGGGTCTGGGGAGGGGGGACAGTGGGGTGTGTGTGTGGGGGAGGGGAGGGTCTGGGGAGGGGGGACAGTGGGGGGTGTGCAGGGGAGAGGAGCAGTGGGGGTGTGGGGGGGGACAGGGTGTGTGCAGGGGGAGAGGAGCAGTGGGGGTGTGTGCGGGGGAGGGTCTGGGGAGGGGGGACAGTGGGGGTGTGCAGGGGGAGGAGCAGTGGGGGAGGGTCGGGTCTGGGGAGGGGGGACAGTGGAGGGTGTGCAGGGGGAGAGGAGCAGGGGGTGTGTGTGCAGGGGAGGTGAGGGTCTGGAGGGGGCAATGGAGATGTGTGCAGGGGGAGGGCTGGGGAGGAAATAGGTGTGTGTGCAGGGGGAGGGGAGGGGCTGTGAGGGGTGTGTGCAGGGGGGGGAGGGGAGGGGAGGGGCTGTGGTGGGGGCTGTTAGGGGTGTGCAGAGGGGGTGTGTAGGAAGGCAGTGGATACCTGGGGATGACTAGAAGGAGATTTATGGGAGAGTCTGGTTTGTGTGTGTGAGATGGGAGTTCTGTATTTCAGTGTGTGGGTTTCGAGTTGGGGTTATGGACAGAACTGCAGGGGTTTGGTGGGTGTTTTCTTTAAATATCGTGGTGTCCTTTCCTTTCCTTCTCTTAATTCCCATTTATTTCCCCGATCCCATGGTAAAGGGAGTGTAAAGTACATCTCTCTCTCTCTCTCTCCCCCACTGGCCTAGCTGGCTATTCCTGAGTGAAGGTGGGGTGGATTCTAGTTGAAACCTAATGTTTTAGACCCTTCAGGCTGATTTTCTTACTTGGGTTTATGTCTGGCAGAAATATAAAGTTCTTAATGAAAATTGTGAAAAGGGCTAAATGATGTTTGGGCTGATGCAAAACTCCTGGGAGCTGTTCAGGTCTCTGGCAATGTGCAGAATGTTGTTGGACTTTTTTTGGTAATTTTAACTTGTTAGGTTCACAGGGTTGATGCTTGGCTATACATATATTTGTGTGTGTAACTGATACTAAATTTTCCCGTGGAGAGAGTGGAAATAGGGGCTGTTTTCCATGTCCGTTACTGGAAACAAGATAGGTTTCAGAGTAGCAGCCGTGTTAGTCTGTATTCGCAAAAAGAAAAGGAGGACTCGTGGCACCTTAGAGACTAACCAATTTATTTGAGCATGCTACGGTGCCACAAGTCCTCCTTTTCTTTTTGGAAACAAGGTTGTTATTTTCTAGCAGAGGGAAGAAATATAGTGCCTTCTAATCTTTCCCAGATATAAAATTTGAACCAAGGGTCATTGCCACAATATGAAGGCTTGCTTTTAGATCTGCGGTAGCTACTCCCTGATGTAGGATGGGGGAGATATTACTAGTTGAGAACTTGCATACTAAGGAACCTGTAAGTTACCATTCATAGGCCATTGACTTCAGTGGAGCACCACAAAGGTGTAGGGGTCAGCCTGCACAGGGTGACTTGCAGGATGGAAGCTATATAAATACACAGATTGTAGCCCCTACCGTTTATCTTCTCCCTTCATCTATCACTAACTTTGGACCATCCCCACATCCTTCCTCTTTGATTAAGTCCTGTTGCTCACAACTGGCCTTAAGCCCAAGGTATGTAGTCAGTTGCTCAGAGTTTCATGCATATCTGGAAACTCACAAGCTGGCTTGATCTCTTTCACTACCCTTCCCTGGACTACTGGACTGGTGAAGAGGTGCTGTTGCTATGCCATATGCCACTTGTCTCCACTTTGGTGTTGGTACCAGTGTGGGAGACAGTTCTCCAGCAGAACTTTACTTGTCTCCATTGTACCAGTGAAACCAGAGTGAGCAGCCCAGTTTCCTTTCTGTCTTACGCTTCCCAGCTTTGGGGTCTGTGGAAAAGGGCAGCTCTGCTCCTGGAGAAACTTAGTTTCTCTCTTTCTGTCCTTTACCTTTCCCCAAGTCTTCTGGCTGCTAGAATGGGATCAGATACTCTTTCTCTCCCCCAGCATCTGGGCTCCTGCGGAGGGGTTAGGTTTCCATTCCATTAACTCTCCCTCTTCCCTCTTTGCTCATAGCTTTTCCAGCCAGTTGCAGTTCTAAAATTGATTTGTGTTGATTTCACTGCTTCCCACAGGATTCTGAACAGCAGTGGTGAAACTGGCCACAGGCTGCTGTTTTCTCGATGCTGGAGCTGTCTGTGGGCTTATTTAAAATGAAATCTTAACTTGGGCATAGGTAGATCGCTTGGGTCCCCTGATTCACTTTGGAACAGGAGTCTCACTGTATAGGAGTCTAAGGAGCAAAGCTACTGAAACCTTTAAAACCGTATTTCTGCTTTTTTAGATAACGGTGCCTGCAGGTGACTGCACATGTCATGAGGAAGAAGAACTTGTGAAGGGAGGGACAGTTGTGAATTGGAGGCCTAGAAAAGGTATGCAGGGAAAAAGGCATTAAATCAGAACAAGGTGAAAAAGAATAGTTACTAATGCTGTCTGCTAGGAGAGGCCAACAAAGCTGTGTAGTACTTATGGGTGGGAAACTTCTTCTTGAGTGAACTCTGCTAAATTATTTTTGCCCATTTTCCGTGCATCCCTAGATAGAGGAACACTTGATCAATATTGCAAAACAAATTCCTGTTGTTGTGGAGGCTCCAGCTGGAGTTATTCAAAAAACCTCCCCTTGAAGGATGTGAAGAGGCAGTGGTGATGATGAAACAGGACTGTAAGTTCTAAACATCAGCCTAAGGTGCAAAGTTCAGACCCAGACTTTGGGTTCAGACCATTAGAGAGAGAAACCTCCAGCTGTGAAATTCAGTTTGGGGGAGTTTGAAGCTAGTGATGGGATTCAGGCCATCTATAATGTATTCCAAACATAGGAAATATCTGACGCCCAGCGTAATATTAGTGTGGTATTAAATACACACACACACGAAATTGGACTTATTATAATTAGATAGAATTGATGCCTCTTCTTGTGTTACAGAATTTTATTCCTTCTGCAGCCTCAGCACAGCATAATGGGTTGGGGGTAGATTTCTGTCTGTAGCTGTAGCTTGCAGAAGTGTTGTTGTCTTCCTGGGCTTTGTTCAAAACAGGTCTGTGTTCACAAAGTGTCTTTGTGTTGAACTACTGCATGGTATTAAAGCATTTTCACCACCCCAGTTTATGTCCTAAGTATCTCTGTTGGCAATTTCTGTCGTATTACAGGCTGTTTGGCAAGGAACGTTTCTGATGGCGAGTCTCACCAGAGTAGATTTTCTGGTTGCCCATGCTATGAAAGTGACACTGCTCATTCAGATTCCTCAGGGCCTCCCATTAAATGGCTTGGTGACTTAGATGACTTCCAGAGTGACCTTGAGGACTGGGAGTTGGATGCATCTTTCCCTGAGCTGAAAATTGATTCTCAGTACGAGGAAGAGGACTGGGATAAAGAATTGGAGGATGCTGAATGTAATCCATATGGTAGGTGCAGATTTTCTTATGCTTTCATCAAGCCTAGGACTTTAAGTGGATGGAGAGAGTGTTTTTCCTGAGAGCCCATTTAAATAGTTCCACATTCTCCTGTTTTGAGCATTTGGTAGTGACACCCTTTGACTGCTTTCTGTCTACCTTGTGTGTTTGTGATGCACAGTTGTACCTAGGTTTTAAATACAGTAGTTTAAAAGAAACATTGCTGTGTTCAAATGTGACAGCCTTGGTTCTTTCCTTGGCCAGTGGGGTTCTTATTGGATGCTACTGCAAGAGAAAAATCTGCACATTTATGTGTGGAGTTACTTTGGGGTTTGACCTTTATAAATCTTGTATATTGCTCTGGAACAGGAGAGATGGGCTCCTCCTGACTTTCAGTGGTGGGGAATACAGTAGCTGAGAGCCCTCTGACTGAAGGACCCTTCTCCTTCCCTCCTGAGAGATTCACCATGGGCTTTGTCAGTCATGTTCCTGTAGAGCAGAGCGGTGTTGGAGGGTTGTATAAAGAGACAAAGTCGCTGACCTGAACGTGTTCCTTTACAAGCCAATCCTGCAAACACACATGAGCAACTTTACTCTGACAAGCAGTCCCACTGACTTCTCTAAGAGTAGCCAAGTGAGTAAACTTGCTTGTGTTTGTGTTTCTAGGATGCATCCCTGAAAGCTCCACAGTTAGGGGCTTCTCCGTTGAATTTCTGAGAACCCTGAACATCCACTGCAGTTAGTGGGAGACGAGAGCAATTAGTGCCTTACCAGCGTGGACACTTCAGTTAGCAAACTGATAGGGTGTTTAACGAATAACCCATCAAGAATTTGTAGATTAGCAGTAGGACCGGCTCATTCTGTCTCTTTGTCATTCTCTTTTTCTCTCGGAATTTGTACAAATCAAACAATTCCCTCTTTGCCTGGGAGGTATTGATTCTTCTGGCTGTTTTGTTTAATAGCATTTATCTTTCCTTTTATATATGACTGCAGCATTCAGTTGAGTTCCATAGGTTAATGGCAGAAAAGTCTAGGCTAGCCTCCTTAGAATTCCTATAGACCCTTTGTAGTGCTGGGTTAACTAAGGTGTGGATAACTGTGTCGGTATGTTTCCCTCTGGGTTAGCCTCAGAGCAGATGAGACTAAATATTGGGTGTGTGCACATGCACCCGCACACGCTTTTTTAAAATCTTTGGTCCTACCGAGAGCTTGATTAGCAGTTGGCACAAGGACTGATCCCTATTCACTTACAGCCAGCTTATCTGATCCACGACTCATGCCCTGCAAGCGCACACAAATCTAGAATTGGAGGGGAAGCCCTGACTGTGACTTGAATGACATTGAGCTCTTCTGTCTAGATTTTTTTAATCTCCACAAATCACCATCCATTTGGTCTGCCCTGCAGCCATTTTTTAATTTATTTTCTGGATCAGCCTGTTTTGGTGCTTTGTTTCTCAACACCACTGAAAAGTTGTTGGTGGGAATGCTGCACTGCTTATGGCTTTTTATCGCCCATGGTTCCCTGATGTCTCTGGTGGCAGCAGCCAGATGGCATTATCCTATTTATTTGCAAACCCCCTTGCATGTTTACAGTGGATCCTGCTGTGTCTTTGTGGCACGTCTGTTAAGATATTTTATTTTAATCAAGCTAATTGTAGGCTAGAGAATGAACTGGGTCAGCACTAGCTCCCTACCCCATTTCCAACTTCCCCCACTTTTGACCTTGATCCAACAAAGTGTTCCTCACATGTTGCTGGCAGGTTGATGGAGGAGGCAGAAAGGGAAAAGAGGCTGTTAGGTACCAGCGAGAGCATAGGAGGAGTTGTGATGTAGTGGGGGTGAGAGCCCTATGTGGCTGCATAGACCAGAAAAGGGAAGGATGATCTTGTGCTTAAGGCTCAGGACTCTGAGCCAGGAGTTCTGGGTTCTGTTCCGAGCTCTGTCACAGGCTTTCTGTGAGATCTTGGGCAGGTAATTTACTGAAGCTTCTCTATCTGTATCACCAGATGTACAGAGGTTTTGTAGGTTTCATGCAGTAATGTTGGTCAGCCAAACTGACATTCCTGCACTGATGCAAATAACTTGCTATGACAAACCCTCTGTAGTGATAGCCAATGTGGAGTGTTCTAACGCAGTTTAATAACACTCTCCTATTTTTTAAAATCCTCTTTAGACGCGGAAGATATCGACTGTGGTAGTCTTCAGGAAAATTATCTATTGGCATCATGTGCATGGCAAGAAGAATCATTGTATAACCCCATGTGTCACCACGCAGCTCCACTCGCTCTGAGTTCGCCAAATAGAATGCCTGAGGTTGGCCAGTTTGATGATGCAGATGACTGAGGTTTGCCCCTGTTCAGGGTCACACTTGACAAATTGGACTTTGCTCCATTGCCGGGATGCAAATGCAATGTGGGGTTCCTTCACCTAGCCTACTGGGTTCCAAACAGGGCTTTTCTGAAAACTTTCTTTGAGAATGTTATTGAGCTGCAAATCCACTGATCATGATCAACTGGAGAGAGGATCTCAGACTGGATGCTAACCATAGGGATCTTTGCAGTTTTGTAGCATGTTTTATTTTCATGTTTTTTAAAGAAAAAAAAAAAGCTGTCTGGGAAGAATGATTTTTAAACTTTGGCTCGATAATAAGCTCGGAATAAGCCAGTTCTAATATGGATCTCATCTGTGTAATTTTATTTTTTTTCTCTTTTTTTATTTGGCATTAATCATTGAGTTGAGCTGGGATTAAATGTTTCTGTCCTTCTTACAGATTATACATCATAAGTAGCATGACCAAGTTGTGTTTGAAGTTCAGGTCTTCTGATGGGCTGCGGGGAATGTACCGTTTGACAGTATCAGTTATGAGAAATACAGAGTGCTTCATTGTTTACACAGATTATTTTTTGTCTATCATTACAAACATGGGGCACTGCAGAATCAAATATCAACAAGAGCCCTCGTTCATGATTTACTCATGTTGCTGTGCACTTATGCGAACAATCCCATCATAGTTAGTGGAACTACTCACGTGAATACGAACTGCATAGTTGGGGCCTTAGTGAAAGTAGCTTTGAATGTGCCAAGGCGACTGGCCCCTTTAAAAGGGAGTGGAGTCCAGCACACGTGATTGATTACCTGCTGACCAATTGCAGGGTATTCCAAGGGAGGGTCTCCATGTGCTCTGCAGATCATGAGTTAGCTTTGCCACGCTGCTGTGGAGCAGGAAGTTGTTGTGCTACAAATGAGGAAACAAAGGTGCAGAATGGTTAAGTGATGTGACCCTAGGCAAGTCAGTGGCAGAGCAGGGACTAGAACTAGATCTCTGGCCGCCTGGTCTTTGCCTTGGAGTTAATGCAAATGACTACAAGTGAGGAATAAGTATACAGAACTGGTAAATTTACAGGACCGTTGTTTAAAAACAAAACAAAAAACCATTAATTAGGCTGCAGTTTTAAAGCTAATATGTTGTAGGAACTCTGCATTGACCCTGAAAGTGCAATGCCTATATCAACACCCTAAGGATGACTTTTATGTTGTTTTGCCCTTAGGTTGCTTCACCATTCATTGTTCTAGACTGAAACAAAGTAACAAACAGCTGCAGAAAAATTAATTCAGTTGGGTGGTGAGGGGAATAGGTGGTGTGATAATTGATTTCTTTCTACTGGGATCAATAGTACTGCTAAGAACCTACAGGGGAATTGTTCTACCTTCTAAACTGGCACAAGGTGAGCAATTCCAGGATAAATCCTAGCACCTACCCCACAGCCTGCATAAGTGGGGAACAGAAACCTAGTGATGGGCCTGTAGCAAGCTAAAGCCATTCCCATCTTGTCCCCTTCATGGAGGGGTTAGTTATTTCTCCCACAGTTAGTCCATAACATCTGTGGTGCCATGGTGCAGCCTGTGGGGCTCCCCACATCCTGCTGCTCCTCTGCAGAGCAGAAAAGCGCTAGTTGCACTCCCTAGGGTGTGGAGACTGGCCCTTTTCTAAATCAGGTGTAAAGCTCTGTTTTGCTGGGGAATTAGCGTTCAGCAATGGTTAGTGGCCACAGCCACCTCTGAGCTAGAATAAGAGTTGTGGGTGCTCAGTGGTTTACAGGATCAGGCATACACAATGTGTTAAATCTGGAAGATAGAGAAACCAAGTCTAAATATCAAGCTAGAGCAGAGGTTCTCAGACTTCTGTACTGGTGACCCCTTTCACACAGCAAGCCTCTGAGTGTGACACCTCCCCCCCCACATTAAAAACACTTTTTTATATATTTAACACCATTATACATGCTGGAGGCAAAGCAGGGTTTGGGGTGGAGTCTGACAGCTCGTGACCCCCCATGTAATAACCTCGTGACCCCCTGAGGGGTCCTGACCCCAAGTTTGAGAACCCCAAGCTGGGGAGAGCATGACTACTCAAAAGTGGCTCACAGTCCACATTAAAAAGGCCACTTTGCGTTCTCATATCGATGCTGCAACAACACTGCCATGCTGTGAGGGTTAAAATGTCCTCAGACAGAACTTTTTTGTTTCCTTTGTGGGCCATTCTTCACTTAAATTCCTGCTGTGGCCGGCAGCACATAGTGCCGGCCTGCAGAGGGCAGCAAAAGGACAAGTCAGTGAATGTTTTTATTGGCAGCAAGTTTCAGATCAGCAGCTGGATGGATTTCCAACATCCTGATATTCGGAAGTGTTTGGATCTGGGTTCGGTCTAGCTCTACTGTTTAGCCTTCTGCCACTGTGAGCTTGATTTATAGCATTTTCTTTAGTTTCCTATTTTTAAAAATTCCCCGTAAATTACACTTACAGGACATTAGTGAGACAGGATGGGTGAAGTAATGTCTTTGATTGGACCAATGTCTGATTGTGAGAGAGACAAGCTTTTGAGCCACACAGAGCTCTTCTTCAGGTCTGGGAAAGGTACTCCGATGCAGCTACAACTGCATTGCATATCTATAGGACAGAAATTTCTACCACTATTTAAAACATGAGAAGAGACAAGGACATTGTATGATTTTTAG